GTGAACATCCTTTAATCATCCATACTTCATCTTCTGGGCATGGCAAGGCACATCACATTAGTGAATCTGACACCACCAGAATTACACAGTGCTTTGTTTTCTCCATTACTCTGAGAGTTTTGAGGATATAAACAAGAATATAAAGACCTTGGGAAAAAATGATGGGAATTACTGCTCTGTTTCATGCCATTTAGACACTGACAGCTCTGTCTTAAAATGAATGCAGATATTATTCCAGCCTGAAAATTTGTCAGAGTTCTGCATTAATCTCTCTGAATTTCATTGTGGGGAGAAGACTTGATTGTTCTGAGGAGTTCTGAATTCGTATTATACTTTAGAATAGCTTTCAGTCATCTCTTTGGGCTTGCACTGGTTGCAGAGATCCCTGTAAGTATTCTACCTGGAAACAGGAGGAAGAAAAAATGTACTAAAATGAAAACCTCCAGAGATTCTTTAAAAGGGACAGGAAAGTTCTGGAAATAGTTTAATGAAGAATCAATTTAATTTGACAAGAACAGAGCCTCCTGAAGCTCAACCCTGAGCATAACACAGGAAACAACGCTAAGGATCAAAACACACTTATCCTTTGTGGAGCTCCATCCTGCAGCTTCCCAAGGGGACTGCTGACAATTGTCGGCCACAAAGACCAGTATTTTTCCACTTATCTTCCCTGGTGTAAGTCATGGATCTCTCATTTGAAAACCTATATTTTAAAAGGCTAAGGCTCTCTCAGCCTACATCAGAAAGAACAGAAAATAGCAAGAGACAAAAATTGGTGCAATAGCGCAAACACTGTTGCTGAAATGCTGTGAATCTCCTCTGTATTCTTGTCTCTCATACCCTGTTTATTCCTTTGAGAATAGGGCAAGCCAACAGTGCTGTAACCCCACAAGTCACAATAACTACTTCACAGACTTATCTTCCTACACAACTCCTTTTTATTTCCACTATTCTACTATAATAGGGAGGAATGCCTAATATGCTTGGGCAGTGAAGATTTTCACTTGAACTAGTCAATGGTGATACTTTTTATAGTGCTCTAGTCTCCATGACAGTACTAATTTTTTTTAAATATTACTACTACCATGACCTTGCTTTACTCATTGTAATGCTAATTTGAAATGCTTGGGAATGGGAGGGGGCTACATGCTGCTGGCCCTGTTAGATGGAGGAAGAACAAGCTGCACCAGCAGGAAGAGTGGCAAACTAGTTCAAAATCTTTGATGTTTATCTACAAAAGGAGGCAAGAAGGTTTCCAGCATTCCATGTCCCATGTCTACCTCAGCAAGAGCTAAGTCCACACAAGGCTCCCAAGAGCTTCCAGTGGAGGACTGCTTCTTGCTATGGGCTCCACAAAACTGCAGTTGAAATTGAACCTTTCACACCATACAATGTCAGAAGTAAGGGAAAAACTGCTATATGAAAGATGAAGGGGCTAGAAAATGCCTGAAGAAATCAGGTAATCTCTCCACTAGAACAACAAAGTGATAAAAATACAATGAGATCTCTTGAAGCTTTTCCAGAAGCATTTCTATCTAATTACTGAGCCATTACTGACTTGGGTCTCATCTGCAAACACTGTGGTGCCCACAGAGTAGATCAATTATTCAGTTTCAATTGTCAGTTTCTCATTAGCAGAGTAATCCCTCTAGTCATTAGCTGTATTTTTCTTTATCTCAGCTTCTTTATCTCAAGTATTTGGTATTAAAATTACTAGCCTTGTGAAATAAGAAAAAAATGAGAACTACAGATCTGATATGCAAGGCTATATTAAAAGATTAGGCAGCAAAGTTTTATTTTATTTCTAGGCTTTTTAACAGTGAACATAATGCGTTGTTCACAGACAACTCTTCTTCTGCAGGTCGTTCTCAAAAAAGAAGACACGCCTTCCTACAAAGTCTGTTTCAGTGACAGTATAATTAATGCAGTTGCTAATTCATATACAAGATGCAAATAATCATCTTATACAACAGTTTTCAATACATATATACAAGTATTCGTGCATGTGTTCCTGCTCTTTTTGTTCAAGTGCCCCAAACTTTTTTTTTTTTTTTTTGCTTCTTCTTATATGGCCATCTAGGCTCACATCTTTCTCTTCCATAATTTCAGTTCCAGATAAATCTTGTAGAGAGAGAGAGAGAGAAAGACACACAGAGAATTAAATAACCAGAAAACAGGAAAAAGAAAAAAAAAAAAAAAAGGAAAAATTTGAATTAAGATGTGAAAGGGTTTGAGTTACCAATTTACGTGAGTAGAACAATCAAATCTTTGCAGAAGAATATACGTGAGTTGTATAACCAAGATGTTATAATCACAATATAATTGTGTATAATCAATAGATATCAAGATGTTATAATTGCAATATAATCAAGAGAGTAAGGCAAAGCAGACAACAATCACAAAAGAGAATAAGTGGAAGAGCTTACCCTTGGGTTGAGCTCACCAGAAGATACCAAAAGAGGGGATCTCCAGAAGAGATCCTTCCCCTCTGGTAGCCAGCTCTTAAATAGGTCCAGGAGGGATGGAGCCAGGCTCCACCCCTTCTGGTAGCACAGGAGAATTGCCTTCACCTGTGCTCCTCTGGCTGACTCAAGGCTCACCTCAGGTGATTAATCAGAGGTTCAGGCCGTGACTCAGCAGTTTCCATACATGAGTAAAGATGCATTATGATATCTCATAGAAATGACACTTTGGATTTTCTCACACACTGTATTCAGATTCAGGGAAAATGTGGGTGTCTTGATGTTGGGGATGAAATTCCTCTTTTGCTCCTCCTGTCTTTTCTCTTGGTTATTTAACAGAACCTTCTTTCTTCTTTGCAAATGATATGGATTTGTTGATATCCTCATAAATATGTATTCACTGTAAGTACTTTTCCCATGACATTGCATATTTAAGATTGGCTGTGAAACTTTAGGCAGAAAAAAAAAGCAGGAGCTACTGAGGTGGAAACACATTTATTATTTTGCAGATTAAATACCATGAACTTCACCTCTGAGTGTGACCATAAATATGAGGTATCTGTGACTCCAAAATTCCTTGCACACTCTTCAGTATTTCCGTACATATATTTGAGGTAGGAGCCACACACACAAGACTGTCAAGCTCAGAAGATGCACAGGAAGAAACTGGATAAACGCAGCACATTACAGGAAGTCACAAGTAGCCCTATCAAAATGGACTCAATAAAGCAGAGTATGGAGCAGGTGTAGAAAAATACGAACTATAAAGTCTTCATTTTCTCTGTTAATCAGCACCAAAAACAGAATACACTTTCTAATGATGTTGGCAGACACGTTGGTTTGGTCTGAACACATTACCTTGCTACCTCCTTTGAGTGTACTCTCGATCCATACTTGACTACAGACCAAAAAGACGAGATCCCAGCTCCTCTTCTCCCCAGGTTTGTATCTCAACTCTAGACATCAGTTCACTGCTGAGTCAAACACATGCAAATTGTGTTTGGAAGAAGAAAGTGAAAAATAAGGCCTTTGTTCATCAAAGCAATTAAGTCAGTATGTAGCTGAAGAGGTGAGGCCAGGCCAACTAACTCAGCTATACTCAGCTGTGCCTAACAGTGAAGGGCACTGGCTTGGCCAACTTCCACATGCTGATTTCTTCGGGACCAGAGTGTATTCATCCTCCCAGGCCATCTCTAGGAGGCCTGGAAGTTGCCTGCAGCTGTGAAGCTCTGAGCCACAGGTGACTGCTTATGGCAATTCTATAGAGCCTGTTGCCATCGCAACCTAGGTGAGCTGATGCTCAGCACCCCGCTGTCTGTCCTGTGGCTATGTGGCTCTAATGAAGCCTCTGAGAGCTTTGTCATTGACTTCACTGGGGTCAAGATTTCACTCCAAAGATGGATCTAGCCCCAAGGCACTGGATACAGATTTTTAATGAAATTTTACAGGACAAGAGTTCTTGCTGTGGCTCAAATTTTAATTTAAACCACTTCAGATAATTTACTTCTGCTGTCAGGAAGTATCATTCTTAACCCCAAGATAAAGATCTTACTTCCATTTAGGTGCTATACTATGTGCCAGCATTGTATTTTCAAATATCAAGTGCATTTTCACTGCTTCTCTTGCACAGGATATGTACTATGCAGTAAGGAGGAACAAAGTATGATGTTTTAATTACTCTTTTGCTGTTCTATTTTTTTAACCTCCAGATGGTCTCTGTGACTGGTGATCTTTTCTCTAGTCTATATATTTCCTGCTTTAATTAGCTTACTCAACTGGGAGCACATCTGAGAGACACGATTGGATAAAATAAAAAATTGTTATTAGCACAATTGCTTTCACAAAATTAGAAGCAGATAAATAGTTGGGGCCATAATTGAAAGCCCTTACTAGAAGACAAGCTGATTGGTGTTGTGACAAAACCTGAGAGATTCCAAGGCTTGAGCTAATTTTGCATCAGCCAGGACTGCAGGAGCAAGGCAATGACTCTGTTAGCATGGTCAGAGCTGGGTAACAGATCTGCCATGCATATTTATCAGCTGAGGGCTGGCTCGGGTTGTGCTGCTTTCTGATAGGACTGAACTATTGCTATTGCTGTGATTTACCACTTCCTAAGAAAGAACACAGCAAACAGATTTTTGCAGGGGGAGAGGAGGGGTTGAAAAAAGTTATATCCCTCTTCATCCTTACCCTTCTCCATCATGCATGCTTGTGAGAAATGGCAGTTGGGCGGCCCAAACATCTGTCCTTGGGGGGCTTTGCTGGGAAATGCCAAGCAGTTGCTGACAAGATCTGACACAAAAGTGGGGATCTGACACAAGTTTGTTCAGAAAGGCAGTCTGAAGCAAGACTGAGGCTCTTCCCTCTTGTACCAAATTCAAAGCTTTTTGCTGCTGGATGAAAGATCTGAGCAAGGTCAATTCTGAGAATCTGAATGCTTCGTGCCTGGCTATAATTAACTGGTGAATAGGCACACCTCGTTTTGATGCAGCCATAATAATTTTATTTGAGTGTAAAGATAGAAAGAAGAATACTTACGGGATCCCTTTTCACAAGGCCTGGGTTAGGAACAACGATGATGAGGTGGGCAATGGTAAACATGGAGTTCAGCACGTAAGAAAAAAACAAATTCTTATGCAGTGTTATCCTTTGACAACTGAGACTCCTGAAAAATATGGAGCACATGTTGTAAATTATTATTTTTCTTCTGAAGTCACTTTAACAAGCTCTTTCTGGCAATAATTTCTCAAGAATGCCTTTTGGCAAGGCGTAATCGGAAAACACATGCCTTGCATTGCAGCCGTAACCTCTGACAAATTTTTTTGCTTTGTTTTTACACCTGTTTAGTACCACATGCTTTTTAGCCATGTTGCAAAGAGCCATCCAGCTACATTCTCATCCCTTGATGCTTTTCATTATTTCATGGTAATCGAGATATTAAGTGCTGAAGCAGAACCCTGAGAATTGTTAGATACACAAGTAGCAAAAATTAGGACCACTGCTTGATAATAAACTGTTGAGAGACTCAAATTCTCAAATATTCTGATGAATATTATTTCCTGCTTTAGGAATTGTTGGTGAGAACATTGTGTAGGAATCCCCTTAAATTTCAGGGGGATTAGGGTTGGTATCCTGCATGCCTCTGACACCAGCTGAAGAGGTTGTTTTCCTGCCCAGAGGGAGCAGCAGCATGGGGAGGGTGGTGGATATCTGCTATGGAGGGTAGCAGAATTTCCCAAGGTTACAAAATTCTTGCACAGCTAAATCATGACTTCAGTTTCTATCTTGAACCATCTGTCCTTTCCAATTCCTACCAAAAACCTTAGGCCACCCCCTTGGCTACCCCTGAGCAGAGAACACCTCCAGAGCTGATTACAGAAAAGTGGTCCTGAAGATGACAGATAATGATGTTTGCCGTCACTGATCACTGAAATAAAGCTGGTGAAAACTGCAGGTAAAGGAACAGCTAAGACAAGCAAATATTTCTTCCTGCTGATGCATGTAAGTCTTTCACAGTCTGGAGCTGTGCACTGGCTGTGAGTTTTAGCTGCTCTGTACATGGAGGTTAATGCAGAATGCACTTTTCCAAAAACAGAGAACTGCTTTCTGCTTATCTGTTTGCTTCCTTATTTATTTATGTATGTATTTATTTATTTTCCTCCTTGGTGACCTGCCACATATCTTTAAGTTGTTCTTACACCTTTTCTGTGAGCTACTGGATGGAAATCTTCCTTTAGCTTAAATTGCCTTGCTGGCTATGGTCATCATCATCCTGAAATTCTCACTATTTTTGTTATCTACTTTACCCACCAAGACATCTTCTTTGTTTCAGAATGTCCGTGTGATGGAGGCCCCTGGGGCTAGAATGAAGAGTATCTCTTTACCCTAGTCTGGGTTTTATATTATTTTAGCATTAGCTATTGGCAGCTGTTGAATACCAGATATAGGGCTAGGTGCACCTTTAGTTTGACCTCCTGTAGGATAGAATATTGGGGAAAACAGGCTGTTCTTTGGACTGACCTATTCTACACTGTGCTATTGTGCTTATTTTACTTGTATTTGCCCACATCACAAATCGAGCCTAATGTTCCTCTTCTGCTTCTCTGCATTAGAAGTGTTTGTCTGGTCCTAATTCTTTCCTTCTGTCCATTCTCTATCATTACACTTTGTCTGTGCTACTGGCATCACTTACTTTGGGACACTACCATGTACACTTCACCTTCTGTCTTCTTACAGTTCTGATAACATACATCTCATCCTCAATAAATCAAGATTTGCCCATCACTTAGAGCAGTCTCTTTGGTCATGGCCACAGAGATGCAGATCCTTGTCTCTCCAGCTGCCTCTCTATGTGGCTACAAGTATAGATAGTCAGTTTTATGTGATAGTCTCTGCCATATATGTGGACTTCCACTTTCATTCCTGTTATTCCTCACATTCCTGCTTTTCTTGGCTTTTCCCAGTCTTACTTCTCTATAAAATTGGAAATACCCTTCCAAATATTTTGCTCTATCTGCTGTCCAAGCTCTTTGCTCTGCTTTTCATCATCCTTCCTTCAGTCTCTCAAACTTTTCTTCCTTGATTACAGCTTTCATGTTAATGATCGAACAGCATCATGAAGTGTATATTTCTCTATTCTCACTTAATTACCTGACCCTTCGTATTTTCCATTAAAATGACAATGGAACCTTCCTCATTTGGTCTGCCTTTAGAGGAAAACTCCTTTTGCCCAATCTTCTCATCTTTCTCTCTTTCTCAGCATCTACACTTATAATGGAAAGTTTGGCTTCACTAATTTTCAGCTGCACTCATGGTCCAACTTGTTATCTTCTATACCTCCACCTCCCTTTTCCTATTTATCTCTTATCTCATTGAAAATTTGCAAGCAATTCTGCCTGGAAACCCTCTTTTTCAATTCCAATCTTATCCATCTACCCATCTTGCCCTGCACATGAACCTGTGCTCAGCAGTTTGTGATATTCACTTCCTAGCAAAACCCAAATTCATTCTACCTGCTGGTTTTGACAGTCACCACTGGTACTCTCCTCTGACTCTCTTTCTGGCTCTTCTCCAGATTCCCTAATCATTCCTTAAAGGTGTCTTTGAAAGATGCCCATCCTCCACTCAACTTTCTGTACGTTCCCTATTCAGCTTTATTAATCACTATGCAAAAAGGCACAACTAAGCTAATCATCCAGACCTAAAATTCCATCTCTCTTTATGTCATTATGATTCTATCAGTTGTGTCTCTGACTTTCAGTATCTCCTATGATTTGCACATTTGTCTCTCATTTTACTTTTCTTCCTATGCTTCCTGTACTTTCTTTAACAGAGATAGGACATCCTATTCACACACAAGCACCCTTATTTTTGAGTTCCTACCCCCAATTTTGTATTGCATTTATGATATTGATTCCCAAGGCATTTTTCGCACTATTTTCTTTCTATTCTGTGAATCTGTCACTGTTCTTCAATCACGGACATTGAGAGCACTGATTTTCACACCCAGTCAGTTATTTTCCATTTCCTGGAGATTTTTTTAGTTTTCAAATAATTATTTTCATGTTTTCTACCACGTCCTCCTTGGAGAAAACTCTCAACAAATTTCTACAACTGATCCTTCCATACATCATCCTTCTTCTATTTTCTGTAAAAGCTTTGCCAACAATGGTACTGGCAGGTACATTCACAACACAACATCTATTGTTCTCACAGACCTAAACTTACTATACTCTTCAGTTATATTTACAAAAATATCTTTGTTTTAATAATTAAACGGGAAGTGATTTGGAGTCAGGTATCCCTTTTTTCCTTTTTATCATGTAAGACAATGGGAGTAGCGTTGAGATGCATGTAATTATTGGGCACACTGCTTTATGAATATTTGTTTCCTATCATAAATAAATATTGCTTATCAATGCTCACCAACACTGTCTCAATATTTCCTTCCAAAAGTACTGTATCTGGCATCTATGATGCCAGATAGTTATGAATTTAGATTCTTCAAATTCAAAGGAGAATAACCTCTGGCAGGAAAGACTGCTTATATACGGGAAGAATTTTTCTTCACATTCTGAAACAGAAACCTCTGTGAGCTATTAACTGACATGTCTACGATCAAAGGCTACTGTACAGCTCCGAAACCATCTCTTACATTTGACTGACTGTCTGATTGATAGCTTGCATTCTGTTGAAGGTCAAATAATCTATCACTGCCATATCCAGATGGGAGAAGACAGCTGAAGATAACAAGAAGACTGCTCCCATGCAGCTTTACTCTTACTTCCTTATTATTTTAGTTTGGTTTCTTCTTTGTCCTCTCATCTTGTAGCAGTTTGTTTTGATCCCTTTTTATACTTCTTCCTGTAATATTTGTGTTACAAATTACTAATTGAAAGGAAAGGATAAGCAGAGGAGGAGGAAAGAGGGAGGCATACTGCTGTCAGGAAGGCTGTTGTCAGATGAATCTTTCAGCATGGCCTGGGAATGTCAGGATTGAGCTGTCAGTGATTCAGAACTAACACTGAGTCAACCTGAACCTGCCTTCCTCACTGCAAGGCCCCAGAAGTATGGAATTACCTTTCTGGACCAATTAGGTTAGGCATTTTAACCAAATCCTGTCCAGACAGCCACAAAGAGCTCTGGAGCCTGGCTAGAAGATTTCAGATCCCAGACTTCTCAATGCACTACTGTAGCTGTGGTTTTGCTCTATTTCTTAGAAGAAATGGGAATTCAGCAGTTCATTAGACAATCTCTAGATACCTCTATACCCCATTAACATGATATCACAGCCACCCATCAAATTGATCCTCTGGAAATTACCAGGATTAATAACCCATATTTTTTATTCACCTACTTTGAGCCTATAATCTTACAGATTCCTATTACAGCTTATGCAAAGTCCAACTGTTGCACTTCCTGTTTCATAGGTTTCACATATTACTAAGCATGCTCTTTTCCAAGACACACTAATCTCATCCATGGTGAACTTGTTCAGGGATCAGCAGCTGAAGTAACTGGGCAGAAGATTTACATAACACTACTGAGACAATGTTTACTAGAAAGCACACAGTCTGAATATATCCATAGGTCTATGAATCCAACCAAAATATAAAAGTCAGTCCTATCACGTTTCTGCTGTGCTCCATCCGGTAAAAAATATTTGGAGCCTGACTGAATTCATTCAGAATATCCAGGTCCCCTTGTTCTCTGACTCATGACTTCTCACCTGAGTTATGGATTATCTCAACCTCTCTTCTGAAACTACATTACTTCAGTATTGGTTACTTTATTTTACTGTCATTAAAAATAACTTCATTCTTCTATTCTGCCATAGAAACACTGTTTTCTGTTTCTCTGCATTTTCATGTGGAGATACCACTTCCTGACCATCTCCAAGAGGAATTCTGTCCTCTGCCAAAAAGATGCAAAAGGCTCAGCTATTCTCTTGATTTTATTGAGTAGAATGTATTTGGAATAATTAACCCATAATATTTGACCTGTTAACAGATATATTTCTCAGATTTGTACATGGATTTATCATAAGACGTAAGGAGTGCATTTTCAGAAAAGACTGCAAAGGTAATATAAATCAAAGTTGAGGCCAGAAATAGGCTGAGGTCCCTCATGTAAAATTTGAGTTAAATAACGCAGGGTCTTTGAGACTATAACTGCTTTAAGCACTGGAACAAGTATTTGGGGTCTCATGGAGCAACTTTCACTGCAGACTGTTAAAGACAAAGTCAAACTACCCCTTGCTCTCTAGAGGCAGAGGTTCAGCAAGAGCATCTTTTTAACCCAATTTTCTACAATTGCTATATACATTTAAGCAGGAGTTTTGTGTTTGCTATGTAATGATGGGTTCTATAAATCTTCATATTTCTATTTGCGGCCAAAACACACATCTTAGAAGTTCAGTTAATGAAGTTGATGATATCTTACAATCCAGCATATAAAGCACTTCATGTTGTACCGAAGTTACTCAGTTATGATGCAACACATTAAATCTACCAGGTCCAAGATACTTAAGAAATGCCATTTAGTCTAGACATACAAAACCTCTGTACTACAAGAGTCATACGAAATGTTTATAACTAAATGGTTGTGACAGAATACGCACTGGGTGTACTTCATTCTGATTACTTGGACTTACTGGTGACAAAACTCCAGTGATTACAGAAATACCCTTTGTTTTAAGTTACTGCTACAAGATTAAAGAATAGGAAAAAAAAACCCTTACAGACTTTGAAATTCCAATGTGAAAAACTGCGTTCATGGAGAATGAATCCTGCTTTTTTTGAAAACAAAGCACATATGAATTCATGATTTGGCATGAGTGGGAAAATGTAAATTTAGAAACTGTTCATAATTCACAGTTACTATCTTGGTCACTAAGATCTGAAAAAAAAAGTATTTGGTTTATTTGTTATACTTGACTACCAATTTGATAGATTAGATGGGTTTGGGGTTTTTTGGATTTCAGTTTTATAGAAATGTCAACCAAATAAAAAGAAATAATTAATTGTGACCTATCTATAAAAGTCATGCTCTTTTGTCAGTCTACTGGGAACGTAATTAAGCAGGTCTAAAAGTACTTTATGCTTTTGGATTACATATATGCCTTTGACCTTCTGAAATAGATTGATGGCTACACAAAATAATATCACATAACTTTCTATGAGAATGATGATAAAGAAGTGAAAAATTGTATTTTGAATGCTCATCAATGACTTTAAAAAAACTTAGTGCTACTCTAACACAGGCCTATTTGTGTTCTGACATAATGAACAACTTCAGCTTCAAATATTTTCTTGCAGGCTCCAAAAAATATACTCTTTATAATAACAACAGTGATGGAATTCAATTGCTATGGTTTACCATTATTGCATAACTACTCTTCATTGCTGCATAGAAGATTGTGAAAAAAACAGTTTGCATCTAATCAACTCAGAAAACTTCTCTTGTCCTTTTAGATTACCCTACAGCTATGTTCAGATATATTCTGCAGCTGATGAGCACTTCTCTATCTCTGGTCATGAAGTAATGGTCTTGCCCTCTGACTGCAAATAATGGATGCACCTTTGCTGAAATCAGTAAGATAATACAATCCCATTCGGGTCATTTTTCCAAAGTATCTGAATGGACATCATAACCCCAGTTTCTGAAGTCCCAGAAGCTGGTAGTTTACAGTAACGTTAAACTGACACACCTTAAGAAGATTGCTTAAAAGTTTGGAAAAGAATATATGTTATGCAAGTCAGCATAGCTCTGGATGCACAGTAGCTCAGGGCCCTGTCCAGCAGTTATTCTCTAATATTTTCTCCACAGTAATCTCCCTGTATCATGTTTACACTGCTACTGAGAAATCCTCTTTGGCTAGAGTGTGTTTTAGATATGTCTAGATACCTCAGCTTTTCATGTGATTTAAAAATAAAGAAATAAATGGAGCCCTTAATCTGCTAGAAATGTACTGGCATTAGTGTCTTTCAGTTATCAGCAGTTCCCTGAAGTGAAACCAGACAGTTTGTTCCTCACTACTGATAGTGTCTGAAACCCTGACTAAATGTCTGAGGGCAAATCTGAGCTCCTACTTCTCCCTCGCTGCTGTAATAAACAGTGTGCAAACAAGTTCACAAAAGTACAGTATGCTGAAATGCATACTTGAACTCCCACAGCGTAGCTGCAACTTTCAGTGAATATCAGTTTAGTCTCCTTGAAAGTTCTGATATAAAACATTACTGTTTTTCCTTTTAATGAAAATGACTGCACACTAGTGTTAGATGCATCCCTAGTGATGAGTTCTGTAAGCACCTACATATGTCATATCAACAGATCAGTCCCTCAGCAACTGATGAGGGTATTCCTGTCCTTTGGGAGATGGGAGGTTTCAAATCACTGCCACGTGAAGTCACTGCTATTTCTACAGGCTGGACATGCCCTCCAAGGAATAACAGGCAACTGGTAAATGAAAGGCCTTAATCAGATTTCCAGTTACACTATTTCCCTATGGATGGCACTTTAAACCACTTTGAATAATCTATCATCATAATTTTGGCTGCACACCATTGGAAGATGTCCCAGTGGCGAGAGGACCCCGTGCAGATGCTTTTTGTCCAATCAGTATCATATAAAAAGGCACTCGGAAGAGCTGGCCATGTTCCCTTCCAAGCTTTTCTTTAATTACATCATGAGATCCCTCATGGAAAGAAGAGAGAGTGTTTGTAAGAAACACTTACTTGAAATAGAAGAAAATTGCCAAGGAAATCAACAGGGATGTTATAGACAAAGCATGGCCAACGATCGCCATATAATAAAGTATGAACGCCATCTGAAATTTAACAAAAAGAAAAAGCAAATATGAACAATTTGCAGGCACCCATTATTTTTTCTCATTGAGGAAGAATCTACAAAATCAATCTATATTGCATTTCTTTTTTTTTCACAGCTTCTTTTGCAATATTCTTTTCATAGCAGCATTACATTAAATAGCATAACACAAGGTCTACAGACAAGATAAGTGTTTCTTACGTAAGTTGATCTTTTTTGTGCTGCACTGAATTCATTGGTAAAATCTTTGCCTAAACTATGCATAAGTAAGTTTTCCAAGCTTTAAGAGAGCACAGCAGACATAATGCATATGGATTTTCAAAAAGACCATGGCAAGTTTCTACTCTAAAAAAATATTGAACAGGATTGGAAGAAAGGTTTTATAGTCCAAACCATGTTTAAGCAGCAGGGAGTAAAAGCTTTATGGACACTTTTGGATGGAGACAAGTCAGTTCGGTGACCTCAGGAAAGGTATTGGGGCTGGATTTTGTTTAGTGTATTCATTAATGATGTGAGGACTGTTTCCAGATCATGCTTTGCACTTCTAGAGAATAGTAACAGACTCTTCACATAACTAGGAGAGAGGACAAGAAGATACCATGCGAACTTCAACAAAGACAAAAGCAGGGACAAGTGATATAAGCCCTGCCTACAAAATGCTAAACTTCAAACTGGCAATCAAATTCAGGACCAAGATCTTGGAGTAATCATGGTCAGTTCTCTGAATTTCTGGCTCAATCTGTAGCGTTAGCCGAAGAGTCAGGAAAACATCAGAGATAACAGGAACAGACATGGAGATAGAACACCCTTTTGTCTCTGTTTAAAACTTACAACAGACATCTTTCTGGCCTGCTCACCTCAACAAAGACATAGTAGAGCTGGAAAAGGTGAAAAAAAGACAACTGAAATAACTGAGGAGGTAGAATGGCTGTGCTATGACACATGGGTGCAAATTCCAGGATTCTCCAACTGGAGAGGACAAGTCATTGATGGCTTATGACTAAGGTCCAAGAAGTCATGAAAGCAGTAGGTGAAAACTATTCAGTAGAGGTGAAAACTATTTAGAAGCTCCAACCACATTTCGATAAGACACCCCACGGCAATTCCGATTGTGACACTAAAGTGAACTTCCCTGTTGAGCAGCTAGATAGTCTTGTTATCATTGTAAAAACTGTATGAACAGATGACCAGGAGTTCACTTTACTAATATTGTTAAAATCTACAATAGGCCTACCCATATTTCATGTGCCTACAGTGAAGCAAAATCATGGGACAGCACCTTGGCATCAGAATACTGCAGTATTTAAATGCCATACAGGGGTCTTAGCTAAGCTCTTAAGCATCATCTAGCTGTCAGAATACTGTGGGAGGCTAATGGCATGCCAACCTCCAGTGTTCCATTTTTTCTGAAAGCACTAATATAATATCAGCTTGTCCTGAAAAATGACTAGATAGGAGGTTCTTCTGCTGGGTTTATTTTCACCTCTATTTCATTTTTCTTTTGTTATGCATGGGCAATTTTCCTTTTTCAATGATTAGATGAATTTTTTATGACCACTCTCCTCTATGAAAAGCTCGTAAGTACCTGTGCAGCATTTTGAGTGTGGTTTCTTTGTTACTCCCTCTTAGCATCTTTTGTGTGCTTTAGGCAAAGAAAGAAAAATTAAGGGAGAAGACATGTTTCATGCAACTCTTTCATTTCAGGCACATTCAGCTAATATCTGGCATGTTTCTAATTGATTTCTGTAGTCCTGAGTTTTGCCAATCACATTTTTTTGGCATTTCCAAGCCAACAGAGAATTGCCGTTGAAAACAGGTAGGAATAAAATTCAGAAAACAAAGCTATTGTTAGCACAGGCACACATCTTTCCATCTAGTTTATTCTTCAGAGATTGTACGACTTCAGAGTCAGATCCTGCTTTCATTTACCTAAGAGGTGTAGCGGCCTGCTTTGTATTTACAACAAAGTCACATTTACACCATTCTGGCCATGTAGACATGATACAAGTATCACTCAGCATGCACATAAACTGGAAAAATTCTATATCTCCTGCTTTCCTTCCACAATGACCAACCACAATATTCTAGTGACTGTAAATTTTTCAGAAGTTCTTTGGTTATTCTTCTTTCGGAGAGCTCCAGCAACCCCAGAAAAGGCAGATCAGAGTGTAGAGAAGATAGATTTCTGAATATGGAGAAACAGGAGGGGTTTTTACCTATGTGCACGTGTCATTTCTTTCACTGCATACTAAGTGGTGGCTATATGATACTAGAGTGATACAGTTTTAAAGCCTGAATTTAATTTAGAGATGAATTTTCATAGTTGTTTTGTTCATCTGCATCTGCCATATACAACCCCTAGCAAATAACAGCTGTAAGTAGCAAAAGGTTCTAGGTAGCTGCATGCAAGTCTGTGTGCATCCTTAAGGACTTCTGATGACACAAGCTCTCTACCTTTTAGCATACAATTGCTAAACCAGTTCAAAGGTATATCTGGGACTCTGCATAGCTTTTGTGATTATTCCATGTAAACTTAATATGGTAACTGTTCAAAAAAGCTTTCCACGTATAACACTGAATATGGATCAGAGAGAACTGACCTCTCAGGTAATAAAGCTTATGGTCTATTACTGCACTTTTAAGAATCAGATGCGATTTGTTTTTCAAGTGATTCATCTCCAAAATACAAGTTATTATTTCCAATTAGTTTCAACGAGCAATTAACTATTTTATTAACCTCTGCACTCCTTGAAATGGCAGTCTCTGATGGCCCTTCTAATACACAGGGCTTGTAATGACTTACCAAATTTTTATTTTATGCACTTTTGTGGGTTTAGAATACTTGAAATAGAAACACTTAAATGCTGTTCTTCCCATGTCCCTCTTTAATTCTTCTCTTGAGGAAAGAATTCTCAAATAAAATTATCTTCTACTCAGTTAATTAGATTCTATATAGATACATCAAAATACTCTAGAAACAAAGCACTCTCCTGGTTTTTGAAGACTTGGACTACAGGTCATAATCCAACTTGGTATTTCTGTAAAGATAGATTCTTTCTGCATTTTCCATTATTTTTTGTTTCAGAACAATCTCAAGGGATGTATAATTTTCCATTGTGTTCTATCTGCACTGCACTTGAATGATATTCAAAATTCTTCTTCTGGAAGGCACGGGTAATAGGCAACAGAACTACATTTTTTGCCTCTCTATTTGGGCCAACATCTGGAAAAATGGTATTTTTATGGTGCTTGCATTTAATGCTTCTGTGAGTTGAGATTCTTACTATTACTCTATCTTTGTTGCACAGGTGAGCCGCACTTTAACATGATGATTCCTCATGTTGCAAAAACTTTTAGAATTCACCTCCTGCCTAGTCCAGTAGACTTTTCCAAGGTTCTTTTTGCTGGGTCATTACTAAATATAACCACATATGAGTTTTTGGCTGTATTATAAAAGATCCTCCAAGACAAACCCCAAATCAATTCACTTTCTGACTTTCCCTGCCATAATTCCAAAGAGTCACAAATTATTCTGTCACAAATCTGTATTCAGATTTTCCTGGAGCTCCATTCACATTTGAGAAATATGTTTATTTTCATGAGCATACCTAAATTCTTTTTTAAAAACTTTTCTCAGATTTCCTTCTCCTTTCTTTTGTTGCTTTCTGACTTGGATCTCCTTTTTCAGCTTAGCAACTCAATTTTGGAAATATTGATTCAAATGTTTAATTTATTAGTGTAAATAGTCACACTGACTTCAGTAAAACAAATATAAATGTGTTCAGGTTTGTGGAACGTTGTGGCATAATGATATCTTCATAAAAGTTTCTATTCAAAGGGAGTGAGTAAAGATGATACTCTTTGCTTATGAAAATAATCTTAACCTATTCTAGGATTTCCAGCCTTACTAAGAAGTTATCAACAGCTTGGAAGATTCTGGTTACGGAAAACAAAACTGAAGTTCTAAAGGATCCTTTTATAACTTTTGGACAGTCAGGAAAAAAAAAAAAAAAAAAAAAAGGAATTAAAAAATGCATTCGAAAAATACAGCGAAGTTGGTGAGCTACTGTTGAATTGCAACTAAATCATCCAGCCTGTAGCAAACATGTATTAGATCTAATTTAGATCTAAGAATTCATGAAGTAATTTTAATAAGTTAAAATTAGGAAGCCAATGCTATTCAACTCTTGTGCAACAAACAAAACTAAAAGATGGAGATGATTCTGACCAGTTTCATATGTGCCCAGCCAAAAACTGTTCCAAGACAATTGCTGTCTTTTTAACTGTAGCATACCTTCAATTTTTCAGATGTGAATGAGTTGCACAGAGTGTAGTTGGACCAAGTTCGATTGCTCTCAGGATGGCGGAACCAGTTTCCAGTTTCATCACAGTATTTTGAAGCTCTTTCTGATGGTAAAGTGCAATAATAATTATGTTAGCTTATTACACTTTAAAAACCCTTTAAAGAGAATTACTGTTTAGAAATAGAACTCCTGTGTAACAAAAACCAAAGGACTTTCAACTTGTGAGAATAAAATACAGTTCCCTTTTTTTTTTAAGTGGAGATTTATCTGACACCACACTTGTTATTTATCTGTCTCCTGTTGGTCTTGAATGAATGAAATAGAGTATATATACCCAACCTTCACTCAGATGCAATTATTTCCATGTTAATAGTTCAGTTAAAGAGGCTGTTGAAACTTGCTCAAACTGGCACTCCCAGTGAGGTGCCAGTATCCCTCCACAGACACTAATAAATCAAGTCTTGTGGTAGGGTTCCATGTTTTACAGGGAATAATTGAAATATTAGTTAAAGGTGATGTGTAATGAAAGGGCAGCAAGCAGTACATTAACTGGAGCTCAGGTACTGGTGATGTCAATAGTCCCAACATCAGCGGTGCGTCTGTGCAGACATCTGGAAGAGTCTATGCCAGTGGTGGCCAGGATCACTGCTGATTTGCCCCTGATGTTGCAAACATAGAGATAAGCAGGCTCTATGCTTAAATAATCTGATGTGTGTTTGGCTTCTCTATGCAACTCTGTCACAGGTGACTCCAGCACTCCCTGCAGCGCTCACCCAGATCCGTGCTTTGTTGCATGTGTCTTTCTCTTGCAGTAGCAGCACCATTAGGATATCTCAGGGGAGTGTCTGGAAGCACAAATGTGTGCCATGCAGGCATCCTCCTGGCTGCATCTGCATTTCTGACTCAGAAATCCTAGATGCAGGGGTGCAGACAGTCACTTCTAATCACCTGTGAAGTCTTGGACTAATTCCTTTTGCTTTCCCCCAAGTGTTAGCCATAGGGGAATCAGTGGAAAACTTGCCCGTGTAACAAAAGTGGCTACAATCAGAAGCTTAAATTATTTGATGTTTTCTTAGAAAGGACACAATTGTTTATGTATAAAATTTGCAGCAGTTTAAGTCTGACTTTTTTTGGCAGACTAAGAAGTGTGTCTTGACATCTCTTTTTCTATTGTAGCTTTATGATTTTATTGACCCTTTGCATAGGTTAGCAGCATTTTCAATCCAAGTACATTTTCAATTTACTTTTGAAGAGCCAATTACCATTTAAACAGACACATTTTCATTTCTTTTGTTCAACATTTGTGTTTCTTTTTCTTAGTCAGATCTGATGATTAATGGCTCTAGTAACTTGGAAGATTCATATTCCCTCTCTTTACATGCTGAGAAAAGCAGTTGATTGTACTGGCAAGGTAAGTGTTATGTGAACTGAGTTATCTTCCTCTGACTAGACATGCACTTTGTATAGCACTACTGCACAAAGAAGATGATCCTCCAGAACACAGCATACTTTTGAAATTACCGTGAGCTTCAAATCACTGATTTGAGGGACTTGCTGAAAATCAATACGTGCATTAGCAATACAAAGAGGAACAGTACATGCTATCTCAGCCTTCCATCACTGCAGCTTGCAGATAATCTCAGTCTGCCTGTATAGCAATGTTCTCGTTGTACTGTTTGCCAGATATTATCTAAAGCTGGAAAAAGTGTTCAGTCATAGATAAAAGATTAATGGTTACTCTACCATGGAACACAGTGTACAAACATTGTACCTGCTATCCCATATACTGTGCAAAATGAGTGGCTTTTGTTAATATACTATGGAGCATGATGGTAATACCATCTATCATCTCTGCTCTTTAATGCCTAGGTAGGCACGCTGCCTAAGTTTAATGTGACCTTTGTAAGTCAGAGACAAATCTGTTGCTTCATATTTTCCTTGAAGCCAGATAAACGCAAGTGATTCTACTTTGCAAGTTGCCACAGCCCACTGATTTCCTGCTGTAATGCTATCAGGAAATGGAACTAGGAGATTAGAATTCCATGACATGGGTTCTGTTATCGGAAAGTACAACTGTGATACACTCACTAAATATGATATGTGTCTTTTCAAAATATTTAATTAAAAATATTAGTTAGATTGATAAATGTGTGGGCTGAAGTTTATGATACAGGGGACAGTTTTTCACATTTCTGCTCACTGCTTTTGGTAGATCATAAACAAAGAGGATCAGGTTAGGCACCTAGGTGTCCCTCACGTATGGTGCCTGTGAGATGCAATGTGTTTAGTCAGTGGGACTGGCTGTTGAAGAATTTTCACAGTGTTTGTATTAATTTGAAATTTGAAACTTGATATGGGGGCAATTACACTACCTTCATACTGTCCATACCAGTAACTTAAACTGGTAGAACATATATTCTAAAACTCTGATTTTACGAAGAAATGAAGCTCTGAGTATGTAATCCAACCACTGCTCTCTACTGCAAGTTCTTCTTTGAGAGCCTAGTATTAGGTGCATGATTGGGAACCTCGGAACATGTTGCATTTCATACTAATCAGAACAATCCGTAGTAAGCCCTGAGAAAGTATTCCAGTGTATAAGGATGAGTAAAATAATATTAGCAAGGGAAAGTGGAAACGTATGCTCTATGATGATTGAAATACTCCATAAACACAAATTTTTAGGCTCTATCCGTATGTTGTCAGCTTGGATAGGATACACTATTCAGAATGGAAGAATGGTGGCACTGTGCGGGATTATCTCATCTGACTTTGGCTACCTTAAAGTTAGGCATCTTCTCAAAGGCAGTTGTGCAGGCTCTTTGTAGTCAGCTAAAAAGGACAGACACTTCAAGAGCTGCCTGAGAAAAATGGGTGAGAGAATCCTTGCTACAGTGGCAGCTTCACTGGAATAATGAGGTGTCTAAAAAGATTAACCAATAATAATAGTTTTGCATGTGTTACTGCTTGTGCTAGAAATTGTGCTTTTAGGAATCAAATTCTCATAAAAAGCAACTCAGACATTTAAATGTAACAAATATCTTAACCAATAACAGTGGAATAAACATGAATACTCTATCAAATAGTCCTTTTACAATTCAACTCCATAGCTAGCAGATGTTAAAAGAGTCTATTCCGATTATTTTTTTTTTATTGTGGAGTTATACGCTGGAAGTAAAAAGAAGTTTCCCTCTGTTGCAATGCATGCTCAGCACATACCAGACACTGGATTCTTCGCCACTATTTGGGCTGACCTGTACAGTAGTTAGTTTTGCAGATGATGGAATAGCTGATACTTCTGTAACTTGTCTTACTCCTTACTTACCTCCCCAGTAAAATATTCTAGAAGAAAATTTTTCAAAAATGAAAAATCTGAAAAAATACAATGGAAATCCCAGAAAATTCCAATTCCAGTGTCCTAGTAAGTGGAGAGCTCTCTCTGTCATCAAAATGCCTTTTTCTGCAAAACTGGAGTTTTTAGAATAAAGTCAAGTTATGCACTACGGGAATAATAAATGTTTACAACACAGCTGCTGAAATGCTAAGCATGACAGAAATACACAGAAGAGCCGGGGACACCTGCCATGGGCTCCTGCATGTTGCCACAACAAGGCACTCTGCTGAGTTGCCAGGAGCCCAGGATGGAGTGGTCAATGAGAAGGGAAAGCTGGGGATGGGAAGCTGCTTAGATTAAGGATGCCTGAGGAATGGCATCCCTGCCTGCATGGAGCCACAGCTGAGACCCAGAGGGTCTCTCTCTCTCACTGTTTTGTGGAACTGATTGCTCATATGCAGTGACTAAACCTCTCATCTTGGCATCCAGCTCTACTGGATGCTCTCAGCATTTTGCCAGCTGTGAGAAGGGTGTGCCTGTGTCTATCAGCCCCATTCCCTGTGGTCAAAAGTGTCATAGTAGCTAAATCCAAAAGGATCAGTAAGAACAAACTGATCTGCTTACCCTTCCCCTGCATGGGGGACTTGTCCTGATTACCTTATTTCTTCAAAAATATGTTGTAAGAAAAACAAAATCTTTCACAAACTGTGCTGGAAGTTTTTGAAGGGCACTAGAAGAGCACTAGAAGAGAGCAAGGTAACTCACTCCTACGTATTCCTTCTCTCAGAGCCACATGAAGAGTTACAAGTAATGGGTCTAGAAAACGGATCCAAAGTGCAGAACTGAGAGGAGCTTTGCTAAAAGCAGCCTCAGATTGTGGACTCAGCTTCTTCTCCTAACCACTGTATGTTGCCGAGGAGAAAAGGGAGTGAAAACAAAACCAGAAGGTAATGCTCTCACAATGTAACTCATCCATCCAGCTGTGCTGCCATACATGGCTGCACCAAATTCATCCTGATCGCAGGCACAGTGTGGAGGCAGGGAGCTGGGCAAAACACAGTGCTCTGCCTCAGACCCAACAGGCTGTGCTCAACACAGGGCGCCAGTCCATCTGGTATGGATTGCCATTGCATCCACAATATATTTCCTTTCTGTTTTATTAGCAAGAGTATTACCTGCATGAATTACATACTATATATTCCCATCAAATTCGATTTTTTCAACTCTTAGAAATTTCAGTGTGACTTGAAGACATTTAATAGGGATTATACCAGATATCATCCTGCGTCGAATATGAGTATGGAGTACTATTCAGGGGAAAATGTGCATGATGTCTGATTCAGGAGTACAAAATCCAGCACTGTCCAGGGCTTCAGTCAGGAGCAGATGAGACAACGAATGTCCTGCTGGCACAGAAGTTAAACCAGTAGGTCTCTGTATGTTGAAACGATTTGTTTTTATGCATGTGCTGGTCAGTGTGAGAAAGACTGCTGTAAAAGGCAATTTGTTTACTGAAGAAATAAATAGCTTGTAGAGAGGAATTTATATTAATTAGCTGTCAGATATACCCTTCTTTTCACAGGACAGAGCTTTGTCAGGTGGGAAAAGAAATGTTGGAAGCCCAAGTTAGTGGAGCAAGCTGGATTATCACTGCGGTCCTTTGTCTTCTCAAAACACAAATTTCTATCTAGTATGAGCTGACATATATTCAGTGAAATAAGTGGAATTACATTTGGTTGAATTAGTGGTGAAGTTGTACAAAATGAACTGAGCACTGAGCATGTTAAAGCTCTCTTTCCTTGTCATTCTGCTTCTGTGCCATTTTCTCCAGATTATTATTCCTCCTGATTTATACCCTCTAACAACTTCTTGGCTCCAGTACTGAATGCTGTTGGGGTATAGGTACAACAAGCTATTATGCAGCACTCAGGTGCAGAGGAAAGGAAGATGTGATCCTAGGTTACCAGATAATTGACTTTTTCAGTTACAAATGACATGCACCAAAGTGCTTAAAGAAAGCTGAATGCTACCATTTTATTCCAGGACTCAAGGCTATGCGTGGCCCCATACAGAAATCATGTAGACTTCTGGGGAGTTAATAGACAGCTGTTCTGCGGATATCAGGACATCACTAAGTGGCACAACGGGAAATACTTCTTTCAGAAGCCCATGGGCTTACTACTTGCAGGCCTCAAATATATGCTGAAGTGGTCTAATGTCACAGCGCCTTAATGAGAAGGAAGTCTGACAGACACTGTGGTTTTCATCTTATAAAATCAATGTTCTTTGGGATGAATTTTCTGTTTCTCAGCAGAAAATTTGGCCATACCCAACAGACATAAGGTTAGCGAACACAGTAAAGACTTGTGACACGAACTTGGTAAGCTTTTCTCAGGACAGCTGAACCTGTGGTTTTGGCCACCTCTGAGTGGCAGCCAGTTTCATTAGCAACTGAAAGATTTCCTCTCCTTCCCGCAGCTTCTTGTCTTCCTCGTACTTTGTTTAGGTCCTGCATGACAGTCAAGCACCTGTATAGGCAGGCTTTGTACTGGCTTTACTGCAGCTGTAGTACACGTGGGGTACCCGGCACACATTATAGGAAAGCAGTTCTGGCTCCACCAGGAGATGCAGAGTTGCCTCAGAGGCACAGAAATGCTGCCAGGCAGCGGGGACATCAGCCTAGACGCAGGTGCATGTGCCACCTGGGAGCAGAGGGATGTGCCAAGGGAAAACGCTGACTCTGGGGGACTGTATGTATTGCTCCTGCACAGGAATGCAGATAGATCAGCAGGAAATTGCTGAAGGAGGATTCTGTGGCTTTTTACAGATAACAGAAAGACTAAAAAAATCTCAAACCAGAAAGCTTTTAAGCACAGTGGAAGGAAAAACTGGAGTACACACACAGCATGGGCCAGGCTTTGCAGCACACATTGGTACCTTAAGGAGCCCTTTGCAATTAGTCCAACGAGTCACAGTCCTCAACTTTAATAGACATTAATAAGCAGAGAGAGGTGCTTCAAGGATGGCTTGAAGTGTTACTTTGAAGAGTGTCACTGGAATTGAGTGATTAGTGCAGAACAAGTTGCTGGAGACAGGCAGGCAAAAATCTGCGAAAAGGTGATTTGCGCAGCAGCTGGAGGGTTGGGTCCGTAACCAGACCTGCTCATGATGGGGTGGGGACCTGGGAGCAGTGGGAGGCTGTTGTGCTGTCTTCCACCTGCTTTTACAGGAACATATGGAGTATTCATAAATCAGGATGGTGCCTTTTTTTTTTTTCCCTGTGAAAAATACAGAACTGGGGAAAGCAGAGGACTTGTGGTAAATTGCTCTATTCACCAGAGGGACTGGTAGCATTTGGGGATGATACCATGAACAAAATGCAGGCAGAAACAGAAGATTTCTTGACATTTCTGCAGTGAATGTAGAAAAAAGCACATGCAACCTCAGGATCCTGAGCCTTCAGCTCTCACCTGAGCACAAACACTTTTGGGACTTGTAGTTACAGCTGACTGAGAATACTGGGGCATCAAGCACTGCCAATAAGCAGTAAGTCCTGAAAGCTGAACACACAGCTCTGTCTTCCCTCAAACAATACCCCTTGTGGAGTTTTATTTGCATCTAATATTTCTTCACAACTATTCATCAAAATCTCTGCTCTTGATTTTTTCCCTTTTATTTATCTCTTTCAGCATTCTTAATTTACTTCTCTTTGCCCACAGAGGTGCTAGCATTTCTATGAAGAATCCAATGAACAACTGGAACTTTGAAAGAATATCACTTCTGTTCATCTTCCAAAAAATATTTTCCAATAAAACCAGAAGATTCTGATAGATACTTCATGCATATAAGAATACTTTTATAATTTTCCCTTGATAGAAAAATCTAGAATAAGGTATTAAAATATGTTGATATCATAACTAAGTTGTTAATATTTCCATATTTTCATAAAAAAGGTCCCATAAATCCAGCAGCTATGTTTACGTCAATATAGCACATAAAATATTATACAAATGAAAATACATAAGTTAGGCAACTCGAAGACTTTACATATTTTCATTTCAAACAAACTCTGAGATTTCATACTTCCATTCAAGGACATGAATATTCCTTTCAAAGATAAGGTGATAAAATTAAGTACCGTACCAGTTGGGTCAAAGTCTGGAAAATAATCTGGGCAGTTCTGAGCAGTGATTCTGCCAGCAGGAGTGTCATCCCAACACAACCAGCCATCCCATGTTCGGTTGCAGAACAGACCTGGATGTTGAAGAGGAATTCAGTAGTCAATTCAGCAGTCAATCCTGAGCCCATTCTGTTCTGACCTCTCAAGGAATATTGCTATCTGCAGACAATAAAGTGGTTTTGCAATATAAGCACCTGTTATTGCTACACTTGGAGTGGCATTCAGTTAGTAGAAAGTGCTTGGTTTTGCCAACCAGATGATAGTGGTTTTAATGTTACCAGAAACTACTATTTTAAAGCCCACTGAATGGAGCTTTGAGTGTAGGGTCTGAACCTACACATTCTTGTTCTTGACAGTTGTAGCAGACAGGACCCTGTAAGTTCTCTTCTGCAGAGGTAGCACTCCTGGCACTGTGTGCCTTGCAGGGATTGTCCCCAGACACACGAAAGACAAAGTGGATGAAAGAGGGAGGCAGAATACTGCTCTTTCTTGCTCCCCATTACAGAGATGTCATACAATGGGGTCTGCAGAAATTGCACTATGAGACTGCTTGCGAAAACACAGCTTTCTTGCTCACAGTGGATTCATGCAAATAGCACATCAGGACCAAAAAAAGATAATTCTTGGTTATTTTTCATGCAAAATCAGTTTTCATTGGGGAAAACATATTAACTAACATGAGTGACAGGTTAAAAAAGGACATACAGTGAGAAGACATACTTTGCCATTTTTTGCTCTGGTCCCAGAGAATTTTCAGAATAGCTGCTATCACCATGTAGGTTGTTTCTGACAGACTTACTTAGAAGGTATTTAATACCCTTGTTCACTTTATTAGCAAGCTTAGTATCAGCTGTTTGCTATCTTTCAGGCATTATCTGTCTTTGAGATACATTTGAAAGACTTTTAGAAATTGTTTTGTAATACCAAAGAAGAGCAAAAAATGTTTGCAACTTGTATCTGAAAGACACAGCAGAATGAAGCTGATAGGGATTTCAGGCTTTAATTTTAAATCCTTTGTCTTGCCTTATAAAGCAAGGTATACAATGTGGAAAGTGTCTTTCAAGGTCAGGGATAGGATATATACATACATATGCCCATAAGTATAGATACACATACACCAACATACACACATATATATATATGTTTTTGAACTCCTGAAACAACTCAGACAGTCTAAATAATAAACCATAAAAGGCAGATGTGAACAACGTTGCTGAATCACTGACCAGAACAATTACATTTCTGGGGGAGTGTGGGAACACTGTGCAGGACTGTCAGGCACTCCCTTGTGCTTGAACTGTACATTTCATTACTCCACTGTGGTTTAAACTCATCAATTCTACCTTGAAATGGGCAGGTATACTCAGTAGATGCCTTCAGCTCATATCTTGGGCTTTTCTTCTCTGGAGACACTCCAACAGTTGTCCTTTGCACTAAGGGAATTAACCATCTCATACAATCCTCCCTTTCAAATTATCAGCTAAGAGATCTAGGCATTTGCTCACTTCCATCTGTTTGTGACATACATTTAATATTTATGAAATATACATGTTGGAGAACTGATGAGGATCCTGTAATTGAGTTGTGACTCAGAGAAACAAATCCACAGTGAAAAACACAACTTCAGTAGCACTGGCCTTTTTCTCTGTTCACTTATTATCTTCAGTCTGAGTTACAAATGCATTAAATGCACGTTGCTATGAACACAACACTCCCCAGTGGCTCCGTTGAAACCCAGCTGTCAGCTGAAGGAGAGCAGAAACTGCTGAGCTGTGTCAGATGGCTGCTGGTCTGCTGCTGCTGTCCTCCTGGACAGTCCTGCCCAGGAGAAACCACCAGGATGACATCATATGAAACAAGAATCACTTCATGCTGGGCAAACACTTCAGCCCTTTGCAACAAATTACATGTGCAAGGGGTAAAAAATCAAAAAAAGAAAAGAAAGAAAGGGAATAGATGAGAACTATCAATTAATGCAAAAATTACATTTTATAGAAATGGAGACTAAACGAGTAATGTGTGCAGAGAATAGCACAGCAGCTAAAGGCTTGTTTATGTCTGAAACATGACAGTTTTTATTGCTCCTTTTAAATACTTCCATGTTGGTTTTTTGTTTGTTTGTTTGTTTCTCCCATTATTGGCCTAATTGAAAACTTATTTGAATCAAAGGGTTCTACATTGTACATTTCTACATTCATTCCAAAACAATTCTGCATCAAGGCCTGAATATCTTAACATCTAGTCACTGACTCTTACAGACAGCAATAAAATCTGATGAAGAGTTACAGAAATGCCTTTGTGCTTATACTGAAGAAAACCTCACCAACATATTATCTCCACTTCATTTACTGCGTTGTTTGATTTTTTTTTCTAATATAACTTCTCTTAAACAGTGCCCCCAGTCCCTGTGTTCTTAGGGACATGGGCTAGTGGGCAGCGTGGTGATGGGTTGACAGTCAATCTCAGACGTCTTTTCCACCCTTATTGATTCAATGATTCTATGACTTTATGATTCTTTACTTGCACAAATTTCCACTATGCCTCGAATATTTTTTCTTTAGCTTCCTCATAGCTTCTTCCTTATTTTTTATTAAAGAAATGACCAAAAGAAAACCCTCAGTCCCAGCCTTATAGGCTTCTTCATTCACTGCATGCCATTGTTGCAACACTATTGTTTGTCATTTCTTTTTCCTTTTTATTAATCTTAACATGTGTCTCCTATTCAGTAATGATCTGTTTTCAGTGCTTTATAAACCTCTTTTTACTAATGTTACTGTTGAATACAGAAGACCAGGAGCACTTATGCTGATACACAGCATGACAGTTCTCAATTCAGGACAGACAGAAAGGCAAAACAAATGAGCAAGACTGGCATTTATATTTAAGATATTACTGTTCACAGTCACATCTTTGTGTAATAGTACCAAAAAATACTGCACTGACAGTTCTGGCAAACTTAACTGTCTAAGGAAGAGAACAGAAATTCAAGCAGCAAAGCCCTGAGCCAGCAATGCACTTCACCTACATGACACAGGTACCATCTGCATGGAAAGGGAGGAATAGCTGCTCATTCCCTGGGCTCACTCTAGCCTTTCTTCTTTCTTAGCATCTCAGAGGACAGTAAGTTAGTGTGAATCTGACTGCTGCTTACCGGAAGGCAGCTGCATCCCAAAGAAAAATATAGGTTAGTATAGAGAACAAAATGCTTCTTTGTAGTGATATACACAAGCATGGTAATATACAAACAGAACTTTTTTATCTTCTTTACCTTTTTTCCTATATGGAGGAGCTCTGTTCATCCTCTCATAGCATTTGAACTGCGAATCTATTATCTTCTGTCGTATGACTGAATTTTCAGTTACTACAGGCTCTAATGTAGGATCAGTATAATTTACAGTAGCAGTAAGACTTGGAACCACTCTCTGTACAGAAAGGAAAAACTGTTAGTGACACTGAATAAACCAGCAAGATAAAAAAAAATTACAAAAGGTCAGAAATCTTCATTACGCATTCCTCAAAGGCCTTTTACTTGCGTATTTTGCATTATGATAGACCTTATTACTTTCAAAGTAAGTGCTGAATTTCAGCTAAGTTTACTTCACTATAAACTCAGGATTTTAACCTAGCCCTTTTTCCTGGCAAAAGAAAGAACCATTGAATACTAGATAAAGTCTTTAAAATCTTTCCGTTTAGATTAGTGATCTGCAAAAAAAATTTGTACGTATCTGCACAATGTTGCACCCATGTACTTCTTCCCACTTGTGCTGATTTCTCTCTAGATTACCCAGTCAGTACCACAGGCTGGAAACCTTATTATTTCATGTTTTCTGCTTTCTGCTTTCAGCTCCTTCAACTTTCAGGGCCAGGGTAAAGGGTTTAAACCTCACAACCTGAGCTTAGTTCTTAATTAAGTGCCTAAGCAAAGTACCCCCAAATCTGAGAGTCTGAATGAAAAGTCCTCTTTGATCAAGTGGCCTTTTCTGAAGGATTCCACTCTGAGCTGCCTGAAGGGCACACAGAAGTACCACTGCCTATGGAAGGCCAAGAGCTCAGGCAGAAAGGTCAGTTGTTCTCTTTCCATCCACCCCTCTGTTGCACAGCCTCTGTGAGTCAGGGAGAAAATGAGTGTATGGAGCTCCAGTTAAAGCTCTTTTGCCTTAATTCTGTATCAGGACACTTCTCTGTGGGAAGGTGATAGGAAAGGGTTATTTCTTCTGATTCCCCAAGTAAAAGCAATATGACTATGGCACTTTCTTTGCATGACTATTTTTTTTTTACCTGCAAAGCTATACTTAAGCCATTGCAAGTACATACAGAGTTATTTAAAGTCTACTTCAAAACTGAGAACTCCCATAAGCCTTGAAGTTCTTGGGGATCTTTCTTCTTCAAAGCCTGCATTTCTCTAGACAAGCCATACAGGTAATGTTACTAGCATTAATACTTTTAACAGTATTCTCTCCATAGTAAAGAGTAAGTTTAGGACTTTTAGGAGCATGCTTCAGATTATATTGATCACCTCCCATGCACATTCGAGCCTATGAGATTCACATTAACACTAAATGCTTGTTCAAAGATTGGTAAGCAGGCGTTTAGAGCTGTACAATCAAAAACCATGACAGGTTTGAAAGTTCAAACATGAAGTGAATTTTTAAATTACTCTTTCCCTTTTTTCTTACTGCACATTGCAAACAGCTGTATCTCATTAACACTTTGCTTTCTTTTCCATTTGCACAGACAGAGCAGCTCATTAAAATACATAGCAAAACAGAGTATGTGAAAATATGTCATTACTTTATGTAGATATGTCTGTGCTGAAACATCTCAGTTTCATCTTTTTATATCATCTTCTTCTACCTAACCAATTTTTTTTCTAATTTAATTGCTTTTTCCCAATTTAATCTAATCCTTTTTCCTGCTGAGATTTTATTTTTGAACTTCATATAGCTACTATTTGAAGACTGGAATACACTGAAGGCACTTAATCTCACTGCACGTAACATGAAATTTGAACTTGAAATAAAATGACAGAAAAAAGATGAAAGATATTTTTGGTAGATATAACTCTATATGAATTTTGTGTGTAAATATATATATATACATGCATGAATAGATATGCATGGACAGTGAAGGCATTTGGAAGATTTCATCTGGCCACTTAAACGAAAAAATTAAGCTTCTAAAAGGCCAGAATAGAAAATACAGAAGCAAACCCCACTATATTTGGGTTCCCTCCTTTATGAAAAGATTAAAGAAGTAGATGGTGTCCAAGGGGATCATTTAAAAAGCAAACCAGCAATGTTGCAGATATCACGGGAAAAAAAAAAACAGATGAAGTTTTCCAGCAGTCTTCAGGTCTGTTTTTGCCCTTCCTGTCTGTGTACCACCACAGGCTTCAGTACTTCCCTGAAGTGATTCATAGAAACTCCAGATTTATTTTTTCCCCATTCTTATTTTGAATAATACCTCAGTTCCAAGCTGTTTGCATTTGAGAGAGGAACAGCAGAGTCAAAGACAAGCTGGGGATTCCCATATCACTGCCTCTTCTCTCAACAATTCCTCTGTCACTGGGGGCCAATCTGGGAAAGCACTCATGTTTTGAAAGCATAACCATCTGATAATGCTTGGAAACCATCACCACTTTTCTTTCACTTGAAACAATGTTTTTATTTGACTTTTGTTTTGTTTTGGAAGGAGATGGTCTGCTCTTCATCTTGTTTGACCAAACAAGACCACTTCACACTAACAGTACAACCAGAAAGACTGAAGTTGCTGATCATAAATTGCAGTTTCTCTTGCTTTATCTGTACAGGGTAAAGCACAACAGAACTGTATGATAATTGGCAAATGCCAGATACACAGATAGAAACTGTAAATACTTTTTAAGTGCATTGAAACATCCTTCCCTTCTTTTAAGTTGTTTTGGTTCATTATTATCCACCATTCTTGAAAGGACAGACTTTTCCCAAGATTGCACAGTACAAAAACATATAAACTGAAATTAAAAGAGATGCCATCAGAAAAGAAACGCTCCATTCCTGTCTTTCAACAGGTGAAGATGTAACAGTTTGTAACCAGGGTTGAAATTTTTGGGGATGAGATACAACAGAGCAAAAAACACCTTTCTCTTCAAAGTCAGTTTCATAACTTGCTGCATGTAAGGGATGAATCTACTTCCTGAAGTAGACAGCTCTTATTAGGTATAGATTAATAATACTTGGAAGCAGAGTTCCTGTGGTGGTAGATAGGATGAATGTTTTGGATTGTGCACTAAATTATTTAAAGTGCACAAACTTGTAACCATTCTGCTACCTTTGAGTAAGGCAATCATGCTACAGTTGAAATTGTGAGAAAAATCCCTATTACCCACATTTGGTCCAGGAATTCACTTAGAGAGACTAAAAAGATAGATGAGAATATGTCAGAAAAGCTCAATGAAAATAGTTTCTTCATCAGGGGAAATAATTTAATGGCCAACAGTAAAAATAAAGCAACTTCGGATAAAGACTGGAATATTAATGTTAGGTTACATCAGTCTCTTACATTTATCTCATTTTTTACTTACGAAATCTGAAGAATCAGATTTTGAGTTAGTCACACACACATTTCCAGGCACCTTTGATGTAATTGTAAAAGCTTGAATGTGAAATCAAATTACAGAGTTATGCGTAGGTGTGTTACTGGTATTGTTCATCTGCGATGTGCCTAAAATACACACACTCTTCCATTTGATTACTCATTTCTTTTTGCCTGGGTTTGAAAAGCCAGCCATGGAATTTTGAACAATATTTTATTCTGCCTTGAAACAAACGATCATTTCTGCTGACTAACAATAAATAAATCTGATGGCTTGAAAGAGGGTGAGCAATTAAACCTCTGTTTACTACCACACACAAAAGAATTGTGCATCCACCAACATTCTGATACGTGGAGCCTAGTGCCTGCTCACCCCAAAGCCATGGGCAGAACTCCCACTCAGTTCAGTGGGACGGTGATCCGGCCACATACTGGGGATCAATCATACAAAGATCTTACCACAGTTTGATGTTGGATATCATTATTAACTTATTCTTTCTGTGCTCCTTACCTTTAGGATGAGGAAAAGGCAAATGAGCAGAAAGAAATCTCTAGGTTGCTATGCTGTTATCAAAGGTAGAAGAGGCCTGGGCATGGCTACATGTGGGGAAAGCTTCACCTGAATAGTGCCTATGGTATGGAATAAATGTTGGATGCTTGGAGTCCATTACTGCAAGTTAAAAACCCTTCCCATCTATCCATCAGTTACTTCAGATGGAAGTATAAATGATGTTGATACAATAAAGGAATGGTTCATCCATTTACAAATATTCTTTATTAAAGAGAAATCAGTATTTCACAACTTAATAAGCAGGATGTGTCGACAGCCTGAAAATGATTGTTTATGATTTCTTCAGAAGAAAAATGCTTAAGTGATGTCCCATGCAGCAGTTTAGCAGCCGTACATATGATGTCACTCCTAAAAGTCCAAGTAAATGACGTCATACATACGACCACCAAGCCACCACGTGACAAATGACTGTCATAAGAAAATGAATTATCATAACAAAGAAAAAGAATAGGCTGCTGGGAATGCTGAAGTTCACTTTAAACCTAGAATGGACAAAGTAATCTAGAGAAACAACTTGGATTTGTTATTAAACTATATTAAGGTTAGTAAATAGTGCACCAGTTTCTGTGAGACAGACACCTGCTATTAACCTCTACTAGACTATGCCTATTTCTGAAACACAAAATCCAAATAAAGCAAGCATAAAATTCACCTTTTTTTCCACAAAATACTGGATGCGATGAACAGGCATTCCCAAATACTTTTCTTCCACCATCAAGGAGCTAGACTAAACATGACTTTTGAAAATAAAGTATCTGCAGCTTTCTTTCCTTTTGATTTTCCCCCAGATCTTCTGTTGAGCTCAGTCAAAATGTATTTCAGAATCTGGATGCTACGACTGCTTATTATTGATTTTGATAGCTCAAGAATATATTTGATGCATTTCTTTTAAAACTGCTCAGTTTAGTCACCTCTTAGTGGGTGACTTAACTCTTGTTCCTTGACACACCACATCTTCAAGCAAGAGCTCAGCATGACTCAGCCTCATTGCAGAGCTCCTGTTGTACCTTGATTGTGTTTGAGAGACTTTTCACAGCCACCAGTGTCAGAACAGAGAAGAAAACCACTGTGATGCCTTAGGAAGGTCATTAACAGAAGGTACTCAGTAAACATAACGATGATTGCTTATTCATTACAAAGGTACTTAGAAACAGCAGACAACAACTTCTTGGGGGAAATACCTCAACATGACATGTTTTACTGAACCATTGAATATTAAAAATTTCCCGTATTCAATTGCTGTTGAAGCAGGATGAAAACATCTCATAATTATATCCCATATAACTTACATTGCAGATTTTGGAGGCTATGTAGACGAGCAAAAGATTATCACCCACAGTAGATGAAGACAAGGCACTTTGAATGGAAAGCAACTTGTAACCCTCTCTTATAGTTCTTTTCCATTGCTGCAGTCAGTACTTGCTCACATGAGGAAGCTTTACTCTCAGGACAGCCTGATGCAGACTGTGAGCATAGAGCAAGGCTGCAGAATGCTTCAGGGATTTTGAATGCAGCTCTAATTAATCACCTTGCAAGAGACCTCTTTAGAGCAATCAGCTGCATGGCAACAATCTTATTATGTTAAAAAGCAAAAATGGAGACAAAGATGTCTGGCTCACCCTGAAACCTTTGGTGAATGCAATCCCTTTCCTTCCTGAAAAGTTGCATGCAGATAGTGCCTGAAATGCTCAAAATAATCTACAGTAAGTCTTTATCATCAGCATTGTACCTCCCCAAATATTCATTACATGAGAAGAGCTCTGGAATTTGCAAGTCCTTACAGCTTGAAGCAACTCACACAAAGGAAAATACACCTTTCCCTCTGCTTTGTCAGCACCTCTCCTGGCCCCCCAAAGGCCAGTACCTTCTCTACACCAGATGTTAGAGGAACCACTGTTTAAGCAGGAAAGCCTTATGCAGAACAGGAGCAGGCTATGGCCCCCCTGTGCAGTGTATCACACCTGTAGCTGTGGGGGACAGCCGGCTGTGGCACCTCACTGCTGTGTATCACTGTGGCAAGAGTGAGATGCTTGCACAATGAGCCATGCCCTCCTCACAGTAGTAAACATATTTCTAAGTGGCTTCTGGAGACTCAAACCTACTATAGTTGTGTTCCAATATATGCCAGTTTTTGTACTTAACTAAATCACACTCAGGTTTTCACATGATTAATTTTCCATGTTTTATGAACTGAAATTATTCACAAGCCTTTCAGGATCTGACACAGTATATCAGACTGTGAATAGCTCAGTGATTGAGATTTGGTAACAATTTGACAGGTCTGGACTTAATAAACTGTACAATTTGGTTTTTTTACTCAAAATGAAATTGTTTTAAAATATAGTCTTGGTCAAAGGGATTTAATTGAATAATGGTGTGGTCTGAAGCTGCAGCATTTGTTTTGTCCTTACTGAGCACTCTGTGGTTGGCTCAGGACAACAAAATTGCAATATATGAGCAAAAACTACTCCATCCGTCCTCATTTACAGGGCAAGAGCAAATTACCATCTGCAGGCACAAAAGGAGAATTTTTACTTGACAAAATGAGGTAGAAAATACAATTCTCTTATCTCAATGTCCTGCAAAATTGATCAGTCACACAGGAAAAAGACCCAATCTTGTTTCCTCCTCCCTCTCATTTTCAGCTGTCTGATCTCCCTGGACACACTGTTCCAATGCTCACCCTTCTTGTGGAGAAAAATGTGCATGTAGGAGATGGTCTAATTCTGCCAGCACATGGGGACTGAGGAACTTGAAACAAATTTCAGTTACACTCCGGGGTTCTCAGTAATTATTGAAAAATAGGCAGTATCAGGAATAAGGTGAAATATGAAACATTCCCTGAGAAGAACAATTAGAATTTCTAAAGGAATTCCCTCCGAATTGCAAAGGAATATCTGTTGATGGTGGAAGAATGGCTATTATTCTGCATCCAAAAGCAAGGGGAGCAGTCAGAGAGACAATAAGAAATGAGCTTTGCTTCTAATAATTGAGTCTTGGAGTCAGGTGCTTTAAACAGTTTGTGTTTAGTATTTTTTTAGTAATTTTAGTAATTACTATGGATCTATACACAAAGGAGTAGAGTGCTGGGTGGTCTATGTAGAAATGACACATTTTCTATCAGAAGGTACCAAAACCACTTGGGACAGGTCTGAAGGCTGGAAACTGTGGGGAGGAGGACCTATGGAGTACTTGTAATTGGGGTCTAGGACCAAGCATGCAAGGAGGGATATGGGACTGGCACTGGGAACCCAGGAGCAATTAGAAAATCTTGCAGAATGGGAATGGCCTTTCTGGAAGAGAAAGAAGAACACCCTTTCCTTATGACAGACCACAAATAAAATGTAAAAACTTGTATTTTTCCACCAACTTCAGGTGGAAAAATTTTTGGAAAGATGACCCTTGCCAAATATTTTTCATATTTGATTTAACAGCAGTGTTCTGGCAAGTACTATCAAGAAAATAGAGCTTGTTCACAGTCCACATCTACGACTGTGGCTTCTCCCTTACCAGAAGATAAATTGATTTAAGACGTGTCTAACAAGATAATAGTATGGCCACCACAGTGGAAAAAGATGGAATGCTGAGATTGGAGCAGTGAAAATGTAAGTAAATTTGTGCTTAAGTTACACATACAGAGACCTCTAGTGTAAAGATATGTAAAAGGAAGGAGATGCAGATTTTACTGCAGAGCTTCCTAAATAAGTCCTAGCCCTGGGCTACTGCTGTAAGGAGGACAGAACCAATGCTGCACATGTGATACTGTAGGTGAGAGATCTAATTTAGAGAGAGGATCAGCCAAATCTTTCAAGACTGTCCTCCAAATATATGCCGTAAGACAGAACACTCCAAACACTCAGTAAGGGCTGTTGACAATTTTAGTTAACAGAATATTTACAGTCCTGTCATTTGATTGTGGAAGAAAAATAATCTGGGACTGTTCTTCCAGTTGGCTTTGATTTCTTACAGGAAGACTTGCTGTTCTTTGCCAAGGCTCCTGTTATGTTATGCAGGTCAGTCGGGATTATTCAAGCACAGAAAATATCTGGTCTCAGATGGGTCCTTTGGCTTTGAGAGATCTCTTAACATGCATGATGTTCCAGCCAGCACAGTTCTACGTGCACCACTCGCAGGGCTATGTGTAACAGACACATAATGCCACAAAAACCAGTATACTCTGATACATATCAAGGCAGATTTTTGCCAAGCACAGGGATAACCATTCAAATCATTAACTAATTCTGGATTAATTATTTTTGAAACCAAGCTAGCAGAAAAATGTTGTCTCCTCTGTTCATTCTCTTTCTCTCCAGCTCATCTTTGTTTGAAGTCCCTGATACTGAAATATGAATTCAGTATTTTACCCAAGTAAGGCGTTCTTTGCTATTCTTTTGCATTCTTCATGATCTCATTTCATTGTTTTATTCCATCATTCTCTTACTGTTCTTGGCTTCCCTACCCTATTTTTTCTCCATGTTAATTTAAGTGGCAAACAGCACAGTGGGCAAGTTATGCTAGGCTGAAACAAACAAAACAGGGAGAGAGGTCTCTGCCATTCCCCAGAGTGTCCTATAGCCCCATTTCTACAATTTATAACCAGAAAGGGTGTGAGCTGATGGGGAGACACACAGCAACATTCCATATTCATTCCACATGAATGGAAGAAAAGCTGAGAAACAGAGGGGTCTGAAGAGCTAACCAACAAGATACAATCAAGTGTAATAAAAATCAAAGGTTTCATCAGGAATACAGAGACAAATATATATTTGAGGAATAAGGTAGCATCAGGCATACAAGTTACTCAGAAACCGAGGCAGAGAGATGCTCATTCCCAGCAGCATCATTCAGACATATGACTGCTGTGTTACTGGGGATTTGGATAGTGTCCACATTTCTGAGTATCTGCAATGTCTTTGATTTTAATCATCTAATCATTTGAGGTTCCACAAGTAAACCTCAAAGAAACCATTCAACTTACATGAGAGGTATTTAGTCAAGTAGAAATTCATTTGCTACATAGTTAGAAAAATAGTTACCCAGCCATGCTGCTGTTGAATATATTGGAGTAACAGAAATATTGAGACCAAACAGTTGGAAGTAGTGTTTGAACTTGACAACTAATCTTTATAGTGATATTTGCCATTTCTGTTGCTTTCCTAAGACCAGAGCCAACATAAACAGTGAAAATTCACAATCACTTAAGTCAAAATCTCACACAACGTTTAGGAAGTTTTCAACTAGTAAGTTTCAAAATCCAGTCAAAAAAACAGAGGCATAACCATCTTCAGACTTGCAGTTTTTCTCACTGGGGAATGGTAGTTTCAAGTTCAAACTTTTATAAGATATCTTATTCAGAAACTTTATTAACCTTATTTCAAAGTTTTATCAGTAAGGGAACTCATTTCTTCACCTATGCTGTATAACAAATATAACTCCTTATTTTTCTGAACATCACCACAAGTTTGAATCTGGCATGTGTCATTCATTTGTCTTATACTTACAATAAGAAGGATAATCAGTAAGAAGCAACTGTGGGTAGTTTTTTTCATTGTGAAGTCTTCCTGCAGAAACACGTTGTAGCTGATCCTTCTGGGAATTAAACAGCAAAAACAAAACCAGGATTAGATTTTGTTACAATAAATTCCTATCTTGGTGTACAGGCATCTTTTTAGACTTCAAGTGCATTCTGCACGTGTGTGTGCCTTCAGCCTTCTGTGTGCTGATGTTTGAATTCACTGGAGACAGGCACGCTTTTATTTCAGCCTCCCCTATGGACGCTAAAGTCAGTGGGCATGAATTACTGCTCCATGTTACTACATGACCAGCAGTGTATCTACATCAAACTGCCTCTCTGCCTGCAGAGCTGACTTTGGTTGTCCAGATTCTGCTGCTTCTAATCTCCAAATGTCTGCAGACCCATGAAGAACCTGCATATTTTTTAAAATTACCCCCCAAAAAGAATGATCTGGTGCAATGATAGGCCACTCAAAAAGCATATTTATTGAGTGAGAGAAAGCCAGAGGATGAGTAACCACTAGGTAGGTTACCACAGAACTCAGTGTGGCAGGAAAAGAGACAAATTGGAAGCTCTTTAGGTTAGACCTCCTGGCAAAGGAGCAAGACTGTGGGATTTCACGATCCAAAATGCAGCTAGCTTGCCTGGTCTGTGTGACTGAAGACAGACACGTGGCAGTGACTCTCCGCCATTGAGAACTGCCACTGCACAAAGTGCTAGAGAAGCACAGCACGGCTATACCTCCAAGGGCTTGAAGGAAACTGGACCAGAAGCTTTCTGCTTTTCTTTGTCTCTTTTAAGTCATCACTCATCCAGCCTTTAACCACACCTTCATTTCTGAGGCATCTAAAAAATGGAGTGAGCACACTACCTGAGCACCAGACATACCCAAACCCTAAGAATTTAATGGGAAAAGGGCACAAAGACTTTGAGGCTTAACTTACAGTATGTGTAGTGAGCAAAACAATCCTTTGTGCAACTCTTGTTTCTGCCACAGCATTGTAGCAGCTCTTCTCTACTTGAAGTGGTTTGGAATGCCACCCATTACAGAGAGGAAAAAAATCAGTTGTATTTTTCCTCATCTAAAGGAGAAATAATCTCAAAATGTAAGAAAGGTGTGGCACTTCTACTGCAATCTAATGCACTTGTATGTAATATCCCATGAATGGGAGTGTTTCATGTGCCACTGAGGTTACATAAAACATGGAATGATGAAAAAGAGGACTCAGAAAAAATGCCTCTGTTAAGAAGTAGCCTTATTACTGTCAGAGCCTTTCCAGAAGCATTCTGGTGTGCCAGAGGTAATGGGACAGGCAAATGACACAGAAATAACATAATTATGCTGTCAGCCACATATTTGTATTTGATCAGCAATGAGAGGTAACTCAATTGAAGCAAAAATTGGTCAGCTAGATCTGAGGAAAATGTCTGGAATTGTTTCCGTCTTCTTTATACTATTCCCCGCAGTGTATGTTGGTTCAAAACTGCCACAAAATATACGAGCATATAAATAATAGGTCTTGATCAGCTGCCCAATGAGCAGATATATATACATAAATGTGTCCATGCAATGATGCACAGTACTGTGAAGTGTTCTGTAGCGTGATGTAAAGCCAGCTGTCTTCTGCATTCCCTCTACTAGCCTCCTCTGCTGCATTTACAGGGATGTGCTAAAAAATAGGCAAAATAACTTTGCCCTACAAGCTGTTGACAGTGTTGCAACACACTACTTGCCACAAACGGCAGAGTGATGAATTGTGATCTAGAAAGAGCAGGCAAAATCAATAGCAAACCCGCAATGCATGTAATCTCCTGCACTTAGTGCTAAAAGTGTTTACAGCATTATGTTGGATTAAAGCTGCAACTGCATGCAAATTTTAGTCAAGTGAGATTTCGTGAATGTTTGCTACTATGTATTGAAGAAGCTATTTAAAATACTTCTTGCTCCATATCTCCCAGTTAAAAAAACCATCCGTAAAATATTGAAGACATTATTTTTTCCCTCCGTTAACTGTGATGCCTGTGCCGTATGATACTACATATGAGTAAATGAGTAAGAATTATTCTGTGTACTAAATCTTACATAATTTTGATATTTCTAGTCTTTCTTCTTCTAGCCAGCTCTAACCACAGGAATGGCTGACATGCTTGAAGTGTAGTACCTGTTTTTTTCTTCCTCTTTCACCAGAGTCTTCTCCAGAGCCAACTATTTTAACAGGCTTTAACATTGCTACTATAAAGTCCCTGACTGAGAAGTAGCTTTTCTCTAACCTCAAGAATGACCTGCAGCACTACATGCGTGGGTTACCGGATCAAGGACAACGAGCATCTTGAAATGTAAAGACGTGCAGGTAAAAAGAGTTAATCAAGGGACAGATCAGGAATAATGTGGAGGTAGAAAGATTCTCAGGAAGGGGAGCCCCAGAGGATGGATCATCAGCCTCTGGACAGAGGTTTGGACCTGCATCATCGCAGCTCTGTCCAATTGATTCAGGGTGATACAACAGGTAAACTGGGATGTGCAAAGTGGAATTTTCAAGTTTGGGACTGCTGTGCTAAAAACACTACTTGCACTTCTGCCATCAACCGTGTTCTTGCTGAAAAGGAGGCTGGAAAGCCCCAAGCAGCCAGAAATACTGCATAGCTGGATCTGGATGTGTGCTATCATTAGCACAGAAAGGAACTTGATCCGTAGCATATACTAATGTCATGACTCAATCACACACAGGCTTTGGTGACAGTACCTGCAGAAGGAGTCCTTCCTTTGCCTCATTCTAGCTGCTCATTGCCACCTGACTAGTGCTACTGTCACAGCCATTTAATCTTTCAAAATGATTGGTACATAGGCACTTCAGATGATTCTTCAATGCAGATATTCAAGGTATGTACAAGGTTTTCCTGGGATCATGCATACTGCAATGAACACAAGCAATTATAGACAACGTACCGATAGCTTTTTGGATCACTGGAGCTAATATAAGAATGATTATTATGAGGATTTAATATTGCAAATTTTGTTTCATTTGCTGAAGTTCTCAAGCAGATTTTAAGTTCTGACTTGATTCATGTTCTTGTACTGTTTATCATTTTTTTTTTTGTAAAGTTCAGCAACGTCCTTGCTTGATGTTAAGATAACATGATGTGCTTCATACATTTAAGTTTTAAAACATTCATATTTAGTCATATTTAATCATATGCACATGGTTAAAGCCCAGTATTTTTCCATGATTGTTCTAATTCTTCATCATCTGTTGCTTATAATAGTTCTGTACGAAATCCCAGTCTGGTTTTTAAACTAGAATATTGTTCTGTATTTCTCTGTTAATGTAGCATAGCATTATGTACTAAGATATTCCACTCATTTCAGCTGTTACAGTAATACCATGGGTACCTTGGGATTAGTCCTGAAGCTCATCTGAGGAACAGTACAACATCGGTAGTGTCATCTCTTTTGTCATCTCTATTCTGACTATTACGGTTTTAATACTAAACTGAACAGGGCTATAATTACAATTACCATTGGGTTATGCAAAGATGGGACTACCTTATCCACTCAGTCATTTGCACAAGTGGCCTAACATGGCCAAAAAGGAGGGCCAGAAAAAGGTGTAAGAGTGAAGATTCAAGAGAGGGCAGTAGATCAGCATTGACTTGCTGCAGTCCAAAGAAACAGTAAGAAAGAAAGGCTTTTGGGAGGAATAATGAGAAAAACTTCTCATTTAATTATTCTGCTCTGATTATTCCGCAATGTCATACTTCACAATAGTGCTCACATACCTTTGGAGGAAGATTTTAACAACACAGTACAAGACTAGTAGGATTTGTGACCAAATACAAGAGAGTGATGCAACAAATACATCTTTCTCTGTGCTTGTCTTACCCCTTCGAACTTTGAAAATTCACTCTCTGCCTCTTCATTTGTCCAGCACATTCTTTAAATAGATTTGTTATCACCCATGTGCATTTTTCTCAGGGTGAATAGCTGTACGCTCACCTTCAACCCCAATGTCTCCAGGTTTTCTGGACTACTAGGACTTGTAGATCCTCTCAGGGAACACTTTACTACTCAGCACAGGAGGACACTGACCTGCACTGCTTGTGCCAAGGATGGAGGAGGAAACACAGGGAGAGGCATGTGGGTAAGAAACATGCAAACCAGCAACCCATTGCTGAGTGCTTAGGGAATTTGGATCCAAGGAGGCTGCAGGTCTGTCTCAGAGAATCACAGAAAGATTTGGTTTAAAAGGAACCTGTAAAGATCACTTAGTTCCAACTCTTTTCTAAGGCCAGGGACTCCTTCCCCTAGATCAGGTTGATCAAAGCCCTATCCAGCCTTGCCTTGAAAACCTCTAGGAATGGAGCATACACATCACCTCTGGGCTACCTGCTTCAGTACCTTCCCGCCTCCTCACGAAGAACTTAATTCTTAGATCTCATCTAAATCTACTCTCTTTTAGTTTAAAACCACTACCCCTAGTCCTATCACTATGTGTCTTTGTAAAAAGTCCCTTTCCAGCTTTTTTGTAGGCCCTCTTTAAATATTGGAATGTCTCATAAGGTCTCCCCAGAACCTTCTTTCTCCAGGATGAATAAGATCAGTCCCCTCAGCTTGTCTTTATAGGAGAAGTGCTCCAGCCCTCTGATCATCCTCGTGGCCAACTCTGTAGCTGCTCCAAAAGGTCTGTCTGTTATGGGACCCAGAGCTGAATGCAGTACTGCAGGGAAGGTCTCACAGGAGTGGAAAGCAGAAAGGGACATCCACCTCTCTAGACCTACTGGTCATACTCCTTTCAGTGCTACCTAGGATACAGTTGCCTTTCTGGGTTGGAAAAGCACATTATTGGCTCATACTCAGTTTTTCATCCACCAGAACTCCCACGTCATCCTCAGGATTACTCTCAATCTACTCGTAATCTAGCCTGTATTCCTGTATTCAAGTTTGGGATTGACACAACCCAGGTGCGGGTCACTGCACTTGGCTTTACTAAACTTCATGAAGTTCATATGAGCCACCCCTCAAGCCTATCCAGGTGCCTCTGGATGGCATCCCTTCCCTCCAGAGTGTTGAATGCAC